CCTGGCAGCATCATGGGGAGTTTTATCAGCCCAGGAGGAGATGAGAAACAATCCCAGCAAGGCCTAAGAGATTTTGTAAGTCAACATTTGGGCCTAGGTTGGTTGATCTGAGCAAAAATCGAATAAAACTGAGTATGGGGGTTTAATAACCAGTTGCTCAGAAGCTGATCTGCTGTTTCTGTTTACTTGCATGYATTTGGCCTGCCACGTTTGTGAGCTCAGTTTAGCTTGAACTTGAGTACAGRTGACTTCAGTTAACTGCAGTTGCTCTGCAATTGAGGAGGCTGAAAGCTCTCACAGACACCGACGGAGCAGCAGCTGCTTAATTAATTAGCACTGAATTGTTCARTCATTCTGTGAGCGCTTCCAGAATMCCCCTAAATTGAGCCCTAATCCAAAATGAAAAATCCCTGTGGAGGGCTAAGAGGGAGATGGGGAAGTCAGATGGCTTCCTGGTTCCATTCCAACGTGGAGAACAAAATGAGGAGAGCTGCTGTGATCCTGTTGTGATCTGCAAGATCTCTTTGACTYCTTATCTGCTTCAGAAGCATTGAATTGTAGCTGCCGTTTTACTTTACAAACTGCTTTTGGGAGAGATGAAGCTGAAGTTGAGTTAGTCTTTATATTCTTTATATTGTGTATGTATTATTTATTATTATTTATATTCTTATTATTTTGTTAAAGTCAAAAATTAAATCACATAATTCTAGTTCTGTGTAGGAAAAGTGATTAAAAGCTATGTACCACCCAGGTAACAAGTGCTTTTATCATCTGCCTGGAATGAGTCTGAGTGGCTTAATCTCTGTGGCTTCTTGCTTCATGTTTAGGACCTGAAAACTTCGAGGGGACTTCTTGATGAAATGAAGAARACTGCAAATAACAACGCTAAGCAGGTACCAGTGATTTGAAAAGCTCTTTCTGTAACTAGCTGAGGCCAAAGGCAGATGCTGCTGCCTGGTGTAGGAGAGTTTGGCCCATGGCTTTAAGAGATGAGTGAAAACCTTCCTTTGGCTGTGGTTTTGTGTCACTTCTACAGTCCCACAAAAACTCTGTCCATCAGTCCCTTGGCAGAATTTCCAGTTGCATTTACAGATGTTTYAGAAAGTGTTGTAGTTACAGCTGGCGAAGTGATGTGCCATGTRGCACAGTGAGAGATGTAAAGGAAGAGACTTTCCCACATCACCCCCAAAATGACATTTGAGATTATTCCTTGAGAGACATCTGGATCAGTTGGGACTTCTTCCTTCCCTTATGACTTGAAGACTTTTTTAGAGGGGAAAACAGTAGCTGGATAGCACTGTGTGTGTGTACCTTCCTGCTGGTGCATGGACAGTGGGGTGAAGTAGCTCAGTTCGGGGGACCTCCAATGCCTTTTGCTAAAGAGCAGGTGCTCTCTAGGATTTAATACAGTTCCCTGGTAGCACTGCACCAGCTGCTTGTTTATTTACACTTCATTCTTTTGAGTGGGTTACCCTTTAWTTCCTGTCAGAGCAAAAGCTACACCAATGAAGAAAGCGTTGAAGTACATTACGTGTTCTTAATTTCCCTCCAAAACAGGAGCTATGCGGGTAATTCTTCCCTCTGATTTTCCTAGGTGATTGAATGGGTTTTGGAGAAGACTGGCAACTAGAGAGACCGAGGAGGTGCTGTTCACAGCTTCGGGGAAGCTCCCCAAACAGAGTCCTGCCCGTGGGATGCAAAGCGCTGCGGGTGCCCGTGTGTGCACATGCACCCCCCGGCGCCTGGAGGGGCCCCGTTGCAGCGGTGGTGTAGAGTTAATTCTCGAGCAAAGCAGCATGTTTTGAGTCCTSGGACCTGAACTTTCTATTTTAACTTATAACTCAAAGGAAAATAGCTTTTTATATGCATATTTATTATGTTTCATTGTTCAAAAGAATGCAGCTTGGGCTGATTTTTGATAAAACTTTGTACTTTTTTAATGAGTGTTTGTTACTAACATGAGTAAAAAAGGTTGTATTTAATTGTGACGACAGGCTGGTTTGCCTTTTTGCACAAAGACCAGTGTTCTATTTACAATTACTTGCTGTTTTATAAATAAACTGGATAAAACTCTCTACCATGTAGACTTTGTCGTGCAAGTTACATGAGTTTTTGTTTCTCCTGCACATGAAGACAAATAGAATTGAAGTCACGATTATCTTTCTGTCTTAATATATGAGTAAAATCAGCAGGTCTCTTGAGTGCAACATCCCATCATTGTGTGAAGGGGAGTATAAGTTGAATATCTGGCATAATTTCATGTCTTCTCTTTTTAACACTCCTTAGAAGCAGTTCTGCAGGGGAGGAATAGTCAAAACTAGATTGTGAAAGCTGTGAAACACTGGACATATTGTGTTTAAATGTATTAGAGAGAATTAGTAAATTTAGGCTCAGTTTTCCTGAGACTTGGGGGTGTATGTGTTTTATACTGGTATGGTGATTTAAATCTGTATTATGTTTGAGGGAAGGGGTTTCTGCCCAGGCAAATGCAGCTTTCAGTGGAGATTCCTTATACCTCAGATAAACCAACAATATTAAAAGTGATGGGGTCATGGTGCTACTGGCCTGCTATGTGCTCCTGGAAGGAAAATGATGTAAGCAGTACTAATAAAAGACGTACTTWAATCAGTATGATGATTAAATTACACTTGAAATAGGACTACACATGGCTTAATACTGCTGAATCAACCCATCCTCTGAGGAGTCTTTACGACCTGGTTCTTTGCCAAATTCTACTATTGTGTCTACTGTAAAGACAAGTCCAAAGGAGTCTGGTGTTCAGAGATTTTCTTTCTTCTTCTCCCTCTTTTTAATCCAACAGAATCTGTAGTTTAACTCTTTTGTTTGTATGTTGCAATATATATTGTTCTGCTTATGTCTAGCTGACCTTTATTGCAGGTGGGTATTAGTTTTATCTGTGCTCGGAGCTGCCTGGCTGCTTTCCCAGAACAATGAGCTGTAGGTAGTGCAGTCTGCATCTCAGCCCAGGACAAACCCAACCAGCCTGAGCTGCACGATTTTAAGTAGTTATTTAGTAAGCAGACACCCCAAATGGTTCCCGTGCATTACTAAAACAAGTCTCAATATAATCCCGTATGTGGGTCGTGAGAGCTGGTGTTACTGTGGTTTCCAGCAGATGGAGAGAGGTGATTGTCCCCCTCTGCTCAGCCCTGGTAAGGCCACAACTGGAGATTGGGTCCAGTTCTGGGCTCTCAAGGACGAGGGATGTGGAGCTGCTAGAGAGAGTCCAGCGCAGGGCTACCGGGATGATCAGGGGCCTGGAACATCTGCCCTATGAGCAAAGCCTGAGGGAGCTGGGCCTGTTCGGCCTGGAGAAGAGAAGGCTGAGGAGGGACCTGATCAGTGTGTATAAATACCTCAAGGGAGGCTGTGAGGAGGAGGGGGCGGCCTCTTTTCAGTGGTGGCCACTGTTAGGACTAGAGGAAATGGCCACAAGCTGAAGCACCAAAGGAACCTACAGGAACCTAAGAAAAAATTTCTTGTCAGTGMGGGTGWCAGAGCTCTGGAACAGGCTGCCCAGGGAGGTTGTGGAGTCTCCTTCTCTGGTCTGGAGATCTTTAAAACCCGCTTGGATGCAGCCCTGTGCCATGTGCTGTAGGTGACCCTGTGTGTATAGGGGGGTTGGTCTACATGATCTCTAAAGGGCCCTTCTGACCTTAAGGGTTCTGTGGTGCTTAGCATAAAGGAAGCTACTGAAGGTAGCATTTCCATATTCAATACTGTGGGGCCTATATTTAAATCTAATTGATGTTTATCTTGCTGCAGAAGGTTTGGTTGCTTCCTCGTATATACTCATATTTTTATATTTATATATGATAAATATAAAATAATTTATGTTAAAATCATAATTTAATAATTTTAATAACCTTAATTTATAATTAATTATTATTATTAAAATAATATCAATACATATATATATATAGCAGGATGCAAGTCATACCAACATACTGCTGTTACCTGCAGGGTTTTAGTATATGAGATGGGGGTGAGACAAAACTGACGTAGATGAACTCCAAAGGTCCCTGCCAACTTTAAGGATTCTATGCTGTCGTAGGTGTGCGGTAAGAGAATCACTTCATCCAGACGCATTCCCAGTGCAGTCAGTGTAAGACTCCCCTACATGAGATTTTAACTTGGGTACCAGCACTTTTCTGGATTCACAGACCCTCCAGCTCCTCCCTGCGAGATGTTTTTATTCATATTTCTCACTAACAACAGCAAGCGTGCTCATAGCTGCTTGAAAACTTGCCCAATTCTGCTCTTAAGCAACCTCTGAATTCATAAGCATCCATTTTGCATACGATTAATCATTACTTTACAGAGGGGGTTTTGTTTCCTTCCAGAAAAATACCCCCAGTAAGTAGTTATAGATAAAGTAGACTATCTATGAGTAAGAAAAATAAGGTAAATTTAGAAATTGATGTTAGTAATAATCTGGAGCATGCGAGTGTTAAGTGCCTGCGAAAAGTCACAGGGTTAATATGATAAACCAGATAAATAATTCTTTGATAACTGAGTTAAGACGAAATGAATCAAATGTATTTTCCCCATCCCCCAAACAAAGTACAGCTTTCTAAACAGCTTGTTTGGGTACAAAGTAAGCTCACCTCACAAAAATCCAATAAATGTCTTTATTAAATATATTCTTTTCCTCTAAAATATAAATATTCACTATACTCTTAAAAATGTGGAGTAGGTCCATATTTCATGTGTCTATCCCATCCAAATATGAATCAGTTCAAAATCTGAAAATGAAGAAATAGCATCTGTAATTATCATATTTTTTCTATAAATATATATAATAGGAACTTTCTTTGCAAACTGCTTAGTTATTCACTTATACTTCATATAGTACTGAGCACCTTAGATTACATACTGTGTAATTTAAATGTTTGTACTAATACAGGAATTTGTAGTATTTACAATGCATGTACATGTTAAGTCTAACATTCCAGTGATTTTTAAGTGTTAGAGGAATAAGGAATAGTGCAGCACAGTTTACAAATGTATTCAGCCTACCCCAGGGTGCGTTAGTTGTCACTTCTGGAACGTTTATAGGAATCTGGGTCCAACGTTTTTAAGTTGTACTTTGGAACATCCATGAAATACTTTGCACATCGATAAAATACTTGGCTGTGAAACACCCTGTTTAAAAGCTGCCCACGGCACCTCCCAGCGGGACCCTTGAGCCTGTGCTCCAGGACCTGCTCCCAGGACATCCAACCCGCGCAGCTCCCAATCCCAGCAGCTGCCAAAGCGACGGACACCCGGGCACCGCTGCAGACGGATACGCGCGTGGCAGCCGCATGGCAGCGACCTGAGAAATGCTCGTGTGGGAAATTACTGGTAAGTTGTCTTACATAGCTCCTAACTTGTGAATTTAGGCAAAAAGTTAAATTTGAACTGCAAGTAGTGACAGTAAAAAATAAGTTCCCAGATCGATAAATCACTTTTCTGATTCCTTTAGGGGACTGAAGAAGATGTTGGGAGGGGGGCTGCTATTCCAAAATCAATTTAGCTTCTGTCATAATAATTTTCAGTATTTGTGCATTCACCCCATCACCTTAAATTTTTAATTAATTTTCACAATTAGGACACCTGTGATGAGAAATCAATTCCTACAAAAGTGTATGACTTACAATTAACTTTCAAGACTTGGCCTAAAAACAACGTGGAACCATCYGGTGCTCCCAATTTTCTTTGCCAGCCGCGTGCCGTTACCCGGGCGCTTCCCGGCTTTCTCCGCTACGGAAGCGCGGGGCTCCCACAGGGGATCTTCCGTGAACTGCTGCTTTATGACGTCCCGTGCAGTTCCTATCCTTCCATGTGTGAATTCAGAGCAAAATTGAAAAGCAAGCAAAGGAAAAAGCCCTACGCGAAGCAGTTCTGTGCGCAGCTGTAGAGCAGCAGCAACGCACGCCGTTTTCTTTCCTCCTACCCAACCACATGAGGGCAGTTTTGTATTTCCAGGGGCAGCCTGTGCCATATTTGATGGTGAAGGCAGTTCCCAGCGTTCCTGCCCTTGCTCTAACTGTGGACCCGGCTGCCTCAGTGATTCCCATGTGTTGAATGAAAATAATTAAATGTGGTGCAAAGCAGGAAATAGGAAGTTACGGCTACAGGGCTCAACATCTTCACCAAGCTCTGCGAGCAAGGAATGCATCTAGACTCGCACCTGAATGCACTACAAGTTATCTTAAGCTTTTCTTAAAAAGAAGTCTTGTTTAGTGAGCTCCTCAACGTGGCTGATTTGGCAGCAGGAAAAATATCTAAGCTCCAAGATGCTCTTGCAGGAGCAGTTTCCTATTAAGGCTTTTCTGGCAGCAAAGCTTCTGTCCCTTCCCTGTGCATGTCCTTGGTGGTGGAGCTGCTTGAGTCACTTTTCTGTTCTGATTCAGAAAACCTCAAAAATGAAGCTTTCCTCACTCCCCAAATTTGTTCTTCATTTGAGATCATTTAACTGACAGCTAAATCTACAAGCAGGAGCAGCAGAGTTGAGGAGTGGTGGGAAAAGGGGACAGTCAGCTCTTAATCYGGCCTTTTCTTGGAAACCACTGAAGGGAAAATGTGCTGTGAGAAATGCAATTTGAGCTTCAAAACGATTCATCTGCCTTGCAACTGAGCCTGGGATTTTGGGTAGCTGAAGCTCAAAWCCATTAAACCCTTCTGGAAAGGGGCAATGAAAGACACGTCCTGCGCGCTCATCAGCGAAGGACGAGCCCACCCGGCCCTGCTGTGCTCTGCGCTCAGGGGCAGCCTGGCCCTGGGCACATCCCTACGGCTGCTGTGCTGGGCTCACCTCAGGAAAGTGCCCAAGATGTCCTAGCACTGAATGGGACCGTGCCCCTCAGCAAGGACCCGTCTGCAGCACTTCACCGACTGCCCCTGTACTGCTTCAGAGCCTCCTATCCGGAGCTGCCTGGTTGCAATCTCTGCTGGGTATTCAAGCAACAGGTTCTGATTCGCCCACCCCCAAGAAGATTTTATTTAAATGGTGAGCAGGTTAGAACAGAAAAACAAATGCATGACTTTTTGATGGTGGGTCAATCTTGTTTATAGAACTTCTTGATCTTGCATGACAACCAAGTGCCCGCTCTTATCCGCTTAGCCCTTATTCTATATAAACAAATACACTGAAATAGGCACKATTTATGATTCTGAAACTTTTACACATCTAGTAAGTACTACACTCTTCTGCTGTCCAGGATGGGATTTTAAAACCCCGTTATTTACAATGAAACCCACTGTTTTCCTTTTCATGTCACTGCTTTAGCTAACGAAAATAAAAGCTAGGCCTTGGGAGACTGCCAGAAATTACCAGGGCCCAGCACCAAACTCCAGTCCCACACACACTGCCAGCTGTGTGTTCCAACGGTGACGGCACTTCCCATCGGCAGGGTTGCTCCATATTCCTTAGGGAAAACAGGTCCATCCCACTTATGCCACCAAACCAAGCCTCGTGATCTTCGCTGACAGGAAGGAATGAATGATGAACACAATCGGCTTTGGGCAGGAATGAAGGTCCAGTTGCTGGAATTGCAAAAGACATCAGGTTGAGAATGATTAAATAAAATACTGGCTCTAATAAACAATCATCTACTGAGTGTTTACTTGACTAACTGCTGTCTGATAGTTTCAATAGACTTCTACTAATAACAAACCTTTACCACAACTGTCATATTGTCTCTTATTTATATGTCTCTGTRAATTCTTAAGCAACTGGAAGTAAATAACAACCATGTTGAGAGCACACAARATGCTTGTGTCCAACTGGGTGACAGCAGGACACAGAGGGATGGATGCTGCCCACACTCTTCCAGGAAGCTCAGCCCCTACATCTTCGCAGGCTTTGCTAAAGAACAAGAAGGGGTGTGAACTGCTTTGTCCACCACCTCATTCTCATCCTTATGCATCTCATTTTGATCACTGTTGAAGACAAGGTACTGCACCTTTTTGGTTGTTCTTGGTTCACAGATCTGTAGGAGTGAGACTGAGTCAAGACTTTTCTCCTCCTCCCAAGGCCACAATTCAGCCTCACCAAGTGCTTAGTACGTGTGAGAATCATGTCAGTGGGAGCAGTAGGTTCAAGAGTGGGACAACATCCAAACAAGCCAGGTTAGTCTTTCACCAATCATGTGTCAGTTTTATCAAGAGCTGACTAGTTCCATTCAGCAGCACACGAGCAGCCTGCACAATAAGCAGTTTGCAAAGTACACGTTACCAAGGATAATGTGAAAAATTAAACAGCCAGTGTGCTCAGAAACTGCTGAAAAAATTGGCAGGAAAGACCACATTTGCATGCATGATTTATGGTATCTAATCTGCTCATATGAAAAGCTCCTTATTTTTGGTGTTGTGAGAGCTAATTTAGAGACCTATGGAGACAATTTGCACTCCATCTGTAGTCGTCACTTTTGTTTCAGCAACAAGATCATTAGATGTGTTTAAAACACAGCTTGTTCCCCTAACAGATAAAGTGAAAATGATTAGGTTGCCATTACTATAAATATTTMTTTCCTAAGTATTCTGTCCTCTACTCAAAAATATTTTAAGTGATGTGAATAAATATAACAATTTTAACATCTGGCCATGTAAGGATATAATTTATTCTTAAAAATAATAAATCTTTCAACCCTCCTTACATGATTTCAACATTTAATCTCCACTTTTAGTTTGTCTCTTTTCAAAGGTGCCAAAGGAAGCATGTCACCTAAAAATTGGTAGTGGTATCTATACCGGTCAGCTGTTGTTGGTACTTGGGCATCTTACAGTCTTAAGGCCCTGCAGAGGGATGGTAGTTTGTTTCCCTCTTGCTAAACACAGTACTTACAATTTCTCCATCCTTTCCTCCAAAGTCTAAATAGAGCATCCTGATCCCATCATCTGAGGACATTTTTAGTTTTTCGTAGGGATATTGTGCGATTGTCTTAGAGAAGGCACCATCTTGTGGTTCAGTTGTAAGAGAGAATCCATGTTCATAATGGATGGTCAAACGGCACTCCTGGCTTTTGTATGTGCAAGCTGAAAAAGAAAACAAAATTTAGAAAACAACATTCYTCAAGGTGACAAATCACATTTGACAGTGGTAGCACGTGTTAATAAGGAGAGCTGTTTTTACCATAATAGTGAAAAAAAAGTCTTTCTGAGGTGTCTACATCTAGGTGCTGATGCGAAAACAACCTGAGGACATTTAAGAAGACTCAATGTGGCATTTCCTCCTTCCAAACCTTGACAAGTCACAGCCACTCTTCTCAATGAGAGTAACGCAGCCAAACCCAATAAACGTGACACAAAAGGCACGGCAAAAATTACAAGCYGTAAAGGGTGTCCCTGAAGAAATTTGACAAAGATGAAGACACTCCCGAGTCCTCWTTAGTGTCAAAGCAATTGAAAAAAGGCCCAGCTAATTGTATATAACAGCTATTGCAGCAGCAGGTCTGCATCTCTCCCCRAGCTCAGAAACAAAGCACCTGATTCATGGTAAGGAGACGGATTTAGGTGTGCACGTTACAAATTCTCTTTTCTCTTTTACATTTGACCGCCTTTGATAACTAAGCTTTGTACCTAGAAGTTTCCCTGAAAGCCTTCATATCCTTATTATATTCCGATATTCTGAATATTAATATTCTGAAAGCCTCAGTATCCTCTTATTTCTCRGTGGTGGCCAGTGACGGACAAGGGGTAATAGGTTTAAGTAAGTTGAAACCCAGGCAGTTCCATCTCCATGTGAGGAGGAACTTCTTTCCTGTGAGGGTGCCAGAGCCCTGGCACAGGCTGCCCAGGGAGGTTGTGGAGTCTCCTTCTCTGGGGATCTTCCAAACTCGCCTGGATGCCGCCCTGTGTCCCATGCTCTGGGTGTCCCTGATGGAGCAGGGGGTTGGACTGGATGATCTCTAGAGGTCCCATCCAGCCTTAACTGTTCTGTGATTCTGCGATTCTGTGATGGTGTGATTCCAGCAGCACCTGCCCTCCGTCAGAGCCGAGCTGACTGGAGGCCCTCGCACACCCAAGCTAGGGAGGCAGAAATTAACCCCTCATTTTTCAAAGTCCTCTGTGGGGCTCAGTCCAGGGCCCTTCTCAGCATGAACTTGATGGTGCCCATCCGCCCACCTCCTGCACGACTCCATTCCCACCATGGTGAGAGGAGCAGTGGGACTCCAGCACCAACTTCCAGCTAGTGTTCCACCTCAAATACCTTCATCCTTTCCTTGGCTGATGTCAAGAATGACCTGACCTGGCCCAAACACATAGAAATGGTATTATGGGAAACCTCGTTAACCTGAGCTTGGTTTCTGCAAGGTGGCACTGTGCACCAGAGGAAAGGACAAGGTCTACAGCTACAAGACCACTTATATGCTGGACACAGATGTAATACGATGGAGCCCAGAAGGCATCTGGCTTTTATTCCAGTCGGTTTTGCATGTAGGAAGCACTCAGAAGGGACCCTGGCACCAGTATTCAGTGACCCCTGGCAATATCCTGTGGGGAAATGACTGGCTGTCACAATGCAGCTGTGACAGTGCTTTGTAATTCTGATCACTCCTTTGAATTGTGCAGATCTAGGTGGGTAATTGAATAACTCACACTTGTGAACATGCAGACTATATGACTTGTCCTCCTCTGCCTATTCCCTTGCAGTAAAAAACTGCCATCAGTCTCTCAGGTTGTGACAAAATCACAATCTTKTGACAAAAACGCTCTTTTTTGCAGGTTTCTGGAAACCAGCAGGCAGCTGCTCCTTTCTATACCCAGTAAGCCYTTCTCAAGCCCTATGCAGATGTCCTGGCTGGTGACAAACGTGTGTCTGAGACCAYGTGAGGGAAACCAGATGAACCACCAGACTGACCACACTGGTGGCCTGGTTTCACGGCACTGGCCAGAGGTGCCACGCAAGCTGGAGCTGGTGGGAAGGCAGGGAAGGAAGATGTTCAACACGTAACCTTGATGTGTTTGCTTTTGAAATGGGCCCTCTCTAGCAGAAACAGTTGAACATCCCYGACTGTGAACTGATGACTAATGATGTCTGGTGTGTATAACAGAGAAGGTACAAAGGATAAAATCCTGCGAGGACAAGTGCAGAAGGGCTCCACCACGCGTTACTCACACGTTGTGATCTCCGTGATGAGCTCTGCAGAATTGTGGCAGCCCTGCACCACGCTCCGCGTCCACAGTGAGAGGTCTCTGCTCGTCTCCGTCCGGAAAAGGTGCGTTTCGATCCCCTGCCTGGTACCGGTCCGGGTGGCGAAAGACAAATCCACCCCAGACTGGGGGGAGCCCTTCCCTGGGCCGGAATGGACCAACCTGCGGATTTGGAATCAAATTCGAACTCATCATGAATCACAGTACCAACAAAAGCTGGTAGTTTAGGCTCTTGGTAGTCTTAAATACAGTGTTTTCATGCAATGAAGATAATTTTGTACTGGCCAATGTGCTGGAGCAATTTCTGCAGTGAATTAAGGCTTTGCTTTACCCACCCAAGGGGCAGAACTAGCAGCAGGGCAAGTGCCCGCTGTGCTGGCAGGTCCAAATGCCCCCGTCCAGCACCAGACTGCCCTCGCATGGAGCTCATGCCGCTCCAGGCAACCTCTGCCATAAACGCTGTCAAATAAAGGAGCAGTTCCCATAAAGGAACAAGTTCAGTAAAATACACAGGTGCCAAGGACTGTCTTGTGCACACTTTGCCAAACCTAGCTGTAAAATGCAGAATGCTGCAGCTATCTGCAATCCTGAAATTCTCCCATGATTTGCTGCCATTATTTATACATTTTGCCTGGCATGAACAACTGATTTTCTGTGAAACGATAGGTTTGTTCATCTGGGCAAACACTAACCACAGTAAATGTCTTTTTAGATGTAAAATCAACACCGTATAATATTTAATTTCTCTTTAATCTCTTTAAGATAATGCTTTTTCTTTGTTTCTTATGGACATGTGGGACACTGAATAGAGAGGCCACTCAGGGACATCACCCAGGTCCCACTGGAAAGAATCACGCAGAGGATTCTTGAGATCCAGGTGCTTCAACTCAGAGAGAGGCACAAGGTGAAACCAGGGAAATTCTCCCAGAAATCTTATTTTGTGCCTCCTGTTTGCCTTTCTCTACGCAAACCATATACTTTACTTGATATTATAAAACAAATATATACCATAGCACACTCTGAAGCATGAAACATTTGATTGTACTAATTGTCTACTGAACACTAAATCACCCTCAAATTGTTTTTTCCATTGGGAACAATAGCTGCCTTTCGGCTCCCATCAAAGAAGCTTGCCATCAGAGATACTTTAATAGGAAGAAGGGAAAAAGGAAAAACAAATAGATCAACAATATAATCCATCGGACTTCAGCTTTTCGGATGTTGAAAAACTGAGCATGGGGCATCTGAAATTTTCCAAAATTTCCTTGCAGATGATTTTTTCATGTTTTTTTCAATTTCCATGCTGATTTTTTGGAAGCTGTTTTTTAAGTTCTTTTGCAAACGTTGGGTTGATGGGAACACTGGAAGCAGGACTTTTTGCCTCAGCTGCCAATCTGTTCTTCACAATCCAAAACACAACACGGGATACAGTGCTGTGGTACCCCCAGCACTCCGAACAAGCCGGCCATGGTAAAGGAAAAGCAGGATAACCCCTGCAACACAGCACCCCAGTGGCTGTGGCTCCTCCCAGGGCTTGAAGCCCTTCTCTGAGAACTAGCGTAGACCTCTCTGCACAGCATTTCCTTGGGCCAAACACATGCCCCTCTTTGGCACCTGCCTGTAAGGTTTTCTCTTGTCTGGCAACATGGTAATTTTCTGTAATGGTGGGGTTTTTTTTAGCAAATTTGATAATGTGATGTGTGGTGTTTCTTTCTGCTGCTTTTAAAAATAAAAACAAAACAAAGAGCCTTGTTTCACGCTTTATCAACTGCACCAGCATTCTTGCTTTAACAGCATTATGTATAGAATGAAGACGATGTATTTTACATATTAAAGTATGTTGATTACATACATCATGAACCTTGTTTCTTGCCTGCCTCCTCATTCACAACAYTACTCCTTCAATATTAAAATTTCAACCTCATTATTTAAAAATCCTCTTCTACCATACGACTCCAGATCACRTTTTGAAAAGCCAGACAGTTCCACATGAACTACACAAACATGCAGCAGAGTATTGCATAATATTTGTGTATCAACCAGCAGCATGAATGTATCCAGTGGGTACAAGTGAAAGGACTCTCAAGTTTTGGTAAATCCACATTCCCCTGCACTGTTGTTTTCTCCTGCAGGACATGCAGATACGATAAAAGGCAGAAAAGAAGCAGCCTCTGGACTTCACCAAGGGCCTCCTCGTGCCTGTGCTGGCCAGTGCCATGAGCGCAAGGGAGCTGGTGACTACATCCAAGCACCGGGGCCGCCCAGGAAGGTTTCCCAGATATTTCCAGGTTTATGAAATAACCCTGCAGGAGCACAGGAGCGCCGGGCGCTTTTTCCCTGGAGCCCACGAGAGGGCAGGAGATGGTCGCTGATGGAGAAGTCCCTTCGTGCAGCATCGAGGTGCAGGCAGGGGCTGTAAAAGGCAACTTTTTGCAGGCTCCCCGGGGCCTCGAATACACCTCTCATGTTCTCTAATTTCTCCATCGTGTCTCTATGTTTCGGGGAGCCTTTTGGCATGATTTTTTATAAATGCATACCATCGAGAAGCACGTGGCACAACTCAAAGTGCTGGTGCTGAGTGAGACTTGCTGGGAGCTGCTTTTTAATTCTAATACAATGAAAGGAGTTTCAAGCATTTGCTGCCACATCACAAAATCTCACGACCTCTTTGAGCAGGACAGTGAAACCAGCCCTGACATTCAAGCAAGTGCTCAGCTGCTCGTTTGAGACTAATCTCAGAGGAGGCCGCGATACAAGTTCATCAACATTCAGCAGCTCTGCCCAGGGAGAAAGCCACTATAATCTGACCTTTCTTACACTGACATCCTCCTTGTCCCTGGCTTAGCRTTTGAAACCCAGCCCAGAGCAGCTGTATTCTTTGGAAATCTTTGCACTCCCAGTTCCTTTGCTGAGCTCTGCTCTGGAGGCAACTGCACTGCCCTGCCTGTGGAGACACAACAGGGACCTCCTGCACCACATTATGGACCCCACAGTCTACCTGGGAGGCAGAAATACTCTGCCTCCCTACGTATTTGCACAGAGAATGAATCAATACCCAAACTTCACTCAGCACAACTGCAGGGCAGCCGGACAGGTTTCAAGCACTATTCCTGTAGCTGGTCTCTGCATATTCAGAAAGTCATGCAGCAGCAATTGGTGAATATTTGTAACGTCAGATGAGTCAGAATGACCTCAATAACTAGGACAGMCAATCCGGTGCTTACAATTATCAAATGGTTGCACTTGGTATTGGAGCTGAGTAATAAACAGCTTTAATGCTCTTTGGAGACAACTCTCAACATAGCACAAAAGCAACTTAGAGATACCTCATCTCCCGTCAAACTGCAACATGTGCTGCTTTCTTTTTTCATCTGGCATGATAGATAATGCAATTTGTACTAGCATTCTTGAATGTTCCTGCACTGCATAAACACTGAAGATGTAATTATTTARGGCCCATTCCCATGTTATAAGGAGACACTGTTTTTCTTCCTTCAGGCGTAAGGAAAAATTGAAACAGAGATTACAGCAAAAAGGCCCCTGGAGTCAGGGCTAGGAGCCAGTTGCTCTGCCTCCCAATTTAGAGATTTAAAGGAGCAACTTAAATCTCCTGATCTCAGTTTTACATGAGCTATTGCTTATATTCCACACAGAAGTGAGGAATACTGTCTGGAAAATCATTTCAGGTCTTCATAGCATCCATAGGTTGAACGCAAGCTCATCAAAAAAGGGGACACGTTGAAATTTTGATGCTAAAACACACTGTAGGAAGATTGTAACCCTTCTATCGCTTTCCAATTTTCTCTGCTCATTAAGTTTTGGGTAGATTAAGCATGACTCTGTACAGTATTTGGCACACAAGTTTTCCAGTTTCAGCAGCTTTTCAAATATGCATTAGCTAAGCAAAAGTGTTTTCCCAAGGACTCATAAAAGTCTGAAAGATGGGAGCAGCCAAGATTACGACATGTGGTCTGCAAGCTTTCCAGGTGGAAAGTTCTAAATTGCACTGATCAATGCACAAAGGGGATTATGAAACATGTCACAAGAAGGGTAATCTCTGACCAAGTACCAACACAGCAGTCGATACCAACAGCAAARCATGTGTATTCTTGGGTATAATTATCAGTCTGGCACGTCCTAAAATTAGTAGTCTGCAGAGTTTTAATCAAARCAACCCAAAATAATAAGTGTGATGATTTAAGGAATTCATCAGTTTATACATCCTGATCAYATTGGGAATTCATTATTTATTTGTACGTACCAGACTGCAAATTCCACTCCAAATGTCATGTTTGGTCTATCTGTTGTCTTTGCACCTGCATGTCAAGTTCATGGTGATATTAATAAAAAAAATCACAGAAAGGGGACTGGAAAGGTTCACAAGAGGTCATCTTGTGTATCTCCCTGCCACAAATGCATCCCATTTTGTCCTATTCTGTCCACAGTGGATCTGGAGGACATGTCCCYGTCCTCCTTTTGCCTTATTTTTTGCATACTTGAAAACTAGCCCATGGACTTCTCTTGATTCAATAATTAAAATTTCTTAAATATCACCCCACTGATAATTTTCTAGTCCTRCCATTTGTTTTGCTTTCTTCTGCACCTTCTACAAGAAGCTGGCATCTTTTTGGAGATGCAATGTCTCACAGAACGTGGTCTATCAGCTGAGGTCTTACAAATGCTGTGCAGACTGGTTAGATCACTACATCCGTCTCACAGGCAATACTTTTGTTACAGTCCAAGATGATSGTGTTCATTTCCCCTTCTCAACACTGTTGTTTTATTCTATTTCACCATACTGCCCAGATACCTCCTGGCAGATCTACTTCCCCTGCCATTCTCCATGCAAAACCAAGGGAGCTGCTTATTCCCAAGTGTCAAACTTTGCATTTGTCCTTACTTAACTGCAATCCATGTGCTTTTACAGGCTGTCTTTCAAACCTGTAAAGACCCTCCAGCAGTTCAACAGCAGCGTCAAGCAATTTCTCATTCTCTTCCACCTTGAAGGATGATGCTCCTCAATTCACACTGAAATGCTGTTTGACACAGAAATAACTATCCCCTCAGGGCAAACAAGTATGATCCCAAATCTATATGTGATAAAAATAACTAATCAAATGACCACCTAAGTAGGAGATTATTTGGTGAGGATAAGCAGTGGTCACAGACAAAAGGGGCTGGCAATGCCCACCAAGAGCTGCTTCTGCACACTGAGATGTGTGGGTGAGAAGGTGCATGTGCTGGCGACCTTGAACTAAACGGGAGCTGTTAGAAAGAATAAACAGGCTGAGAAAGACCCAGGTGTTTCCCAAGCAAAGTAAACTTGGCCTGACCACCACGGAGCAGTAAACAAGGTGGTGTGGTCTGTTCAGGAAAGGGCCTCCAGCTGCATGTGTGGGATCACCCTGAGCCACGTGCAACCCTGCGCGTGTGCGGCGCGCAGGGAACCACCTATTCTCAGTGTTATTTTCTCTGGGTGAGGAACACCCTGCTGCTGGCTGGAGGCCGATCTACCATTTACTTACCTTCCTYCTCACTGCCTGGCTCAGCCTAAAACACACTTACAAAGGAAAAGTTCCCCAACAAAACTACCCAATGGTGTCTGCACTTASTGTTATTTATCCTTCCTGACATACCTTGCTTCTCAACATGCCTAAGTTACCTTTTCTAAAGACATGTATATCCCAACACAGGACGTCCTGCACTGCAGCGGAACTGCGATGAGTCTGGAGATGAGCTGCTTTGCCCCGGCACAGCCAGGCCTTTTACAASAGGCTAAAATTAGTTAAATTACTTCATGCTCGAGGCAGGCTGGAGGGGATTCAGACTGTTATCAGCTGACAAGAGGGTCTGTACGTCAGGACACCGCAACCTCCTGTTGTATCGTAGCTGTGGTTATCAGAGCCACCACTTAGAAGAACAGGACTTTGGTCTGTTACAACTAATGCCCTGAAGCGCTGGGGAGGAGCTGCATCTGCTGCAGGCAGCTAAGTTTATTTTGGGGGCAAAAGGAATGTGGCCAGATCATTTGACACTCCATAAAACAGGGTGAGGAACTCAGAAAGAAACTTGAAAAAAAAAAAAAAAGAGAGATCTGGGGCTTTGATTCTCTTTTGGAGCACGACCGGTGCTGCAAGCAGGACAGCGTGTGGAGGCCYGAGGGGCTGCCCGAGGCCTCCAGGGCTCAGCAAGGAAAGGGTGCCGGGTGCTCCCCAGCCCGGCCACCCGGCTCCACGGCCCATGTGATGATGGCTGCCACCTGCGACAGCTTGGCCTGGCTGTGTCTCCTGGTTCCACAACAAAACACCGTCTTGTGCGTTTGTCRTGGGGCAGCCATCGTGTCAAGGCCTGGTGACATGTGCGGCCAGCACCTCTGCAGTGCCTTGCCCACGTTTTCAGRGGGATTTTGCACTGGATTTCTCTGCCCTCACTCGCACTTGAAAGCTCATCAGGGCCTTATAAAGCATGGGACAGTCTCTTTATTTTACGCTAAGGCAGGGCAAGCCAGAACCTGGCCTCCTAGGAAAACTGGGAGCTGTATCATGGGTAGCATCATCGGGACTAAATGACTATTAGTGCAATTTATTGTGTTTAATTTTAATTGAATGATTTACCAGCAAAGTCTCAGCTCATTTGGGAAGAGAATAAAGAGAGTGGGAACAAAAAATAAATTAATGAGAGGGCAGTAAGAGCGCCACAGCTTTTGGCCATGTGCTAACAGACCTCCCCAATGTGAACCCTTGAAAACAGCACAACAGAGGCCTGTGAGAAGGTCCAAATAATGAAACGCCGTCTCTTTCTCAAGCCCTTTGATGATCCTGGCAGGAAAACGTGATTAAGATGCATGGCAAGAACCACAGACAGTTTTCAGTGTGTAAAGGCAACTATGGGAAAGCTCTCTCTGGATGGTATCTGATGGATACCTTTGAAACAACATAGACAGACATATTCAAGACCGTAACTTTCAAACTCACCATTTTAAGCTAAAACAGCCAGACACCAGGTGCTCAGAGTAGGAAATGAAGTGTCTGCACCTCATGCCCAAGCCTCCAGAGGCCCCTACCACTGGTGGTGCACAGCACTTGGTGCACAGCACATGGTGCTGGTGCATACCAGCAGGAGTTTCTTAAACTYGGGGCAATTATTTCATATTTTTCAACCTGGAAAAGAAGCTCTGCTCTGAATGCAACTGCCAAGCTCTCAGTTCTGCACACAAAGATAGAAATCTCATGAGATCAAGTGCTCATGTTTTTTAGCACCACACTTTCTGGACCTGGGTAAAACTGCCACCTCCAYAGTCTTTCTTGTCTACTTTTGGCAATTAGTCTTGGGCAGAATATGAAACTGGGGAGGGAGTGAGGAAGAGCAACTAAGCTGAACACATCAGCCCATTTAAGATGAATGTGTTTCTCAAACCATGACACTTCAAGTGTGATACACAGCTATGCACCAGCTATTTCTGATCTCAGCTGATTAAGCCATTCCCAGTGCTCCTTAAGTGGCTGTGACAAAGCAGCAAAGGTACCTGGTTGCCAGCAGAGGGTAGGTGTGCAGAGGGTTGAACCAGGCTTCCTTCATTCGTGGCATGCTCTCATATATTAAAAGGTCTTTCTCAGTCAAGACAACCAGCACTGGCTTCCAGTGCTTCTCGTTGTCTCCTGGCACCTGAAAAAGAGTAAATTTTCAGTGAAAAAGCAAGAGACAAAGCTAGCATCATCCCGCAAAGCCTGTCAGCATGCACACATCTGGTCCTGTTTGATCATGAACAAACAAAGAGTTTTATTTCTTTGGTTTTCTGACTTCTGCTGCCTGGATTTATAAGCAGACACAGCAGAAATGGAGCAAAGAAATCTGCTTCTCACATGAGTGCTACCACCCCCAAGCCTCCTTTGCAGCTTTCGCTCACTACAGGCGCTTCCACAAATGCAGCAGTGGAAGAAAGCAGCTGTGGGACTGGCTGCTATTTAGCTGTGGTATGGACAAAAGAACCTAGTAAAGAATCTCTGCCTTCAACGTGTATTTATGATGTGTAGCATTCGTGTGTAGCCATCAGATACACCCGAGTGCTTGATGCTTCGTGAATAAAGAAGAGAGCTAATAAAACATTGTGTGTTTGGGAGTAGGTGAGYCTGCTTTTTCCCTCAGCAGCTCATGTTTTCATTGCTCCTCTCTCCTTCACAATGTTCTTGCTTCCCAGCAGCTTTACAAGTGTCGAATTCAAACTAAACACAGGACTGATCTGTAGCATAGACTCAGATYTCTCAAAATTAGCAGACTTTGCAAATACTTTGGAAACCCTTCTGAAGAAGATGTCTAAACCTGGGACACTACTAGCTGGACAATCCGGATGTAGAAATGTATTGTTTTTTAGGCATGTTGTAGTCCACGTGGCTACACCATTATGCTTACAGGCATTAAATATGAACATGATTTTCATTACTGTACTCTGGCATCAAGGAAGAGCTTAAAATAGAAGGAAGTATGAAAAGGGTCTTAGTTTCAAGTAAGATCTTGATGACTGCAGACAATTTCATTATTTTCCTTTTGGTCCACAGAAAGAAAAAGAAACCACATTGTGCAATAACAGTCTCATGATCGTGATTTCAAACTGGTATTAAATGGGATTTTAAATGGCATTAAGCAAATTCTGAGATTCATCAGACAATCTGGTTGTGCACATGACTCCTTACCTGAAAGCTTTGCCAGAATTCACTATTTACTGGTGTGTTACGAGCAATGCCAGCCTGTTTGTCATGGATGAGTTTGCATCACTGTGTGCAGGAATACCCAGAAGGCATCCATCAAAAGTACCCCTCTGTCCTTCCCAATTAAGCTTCTCTGATAATTGGGTTCCTGTTTACATCACTATTTTCTCACTGGTTACACATGCCTATATGCTAGTAAGTTAAAAAAAAAAAAACCTTAAGCTGTTAAAAAGTTCATCTGTTTAATATTTTGAGGAGCATCAATTGACATGCACAATTTTCTTGTGCTGACAGTTTCTTSATATGTAACCCCTCATTTTCAAATAGAGCAGACCAGGGCAGCTGCTTAATTAACCTACCCATTAATACAGTCCAGGAAGAATGTAAAATCCAAAATTTTGCCAGACCCCACGTACCACAAAAGCATCACTGCAAAGCACCCTTAGCTGGTTAATACCACAGTTATTAACTAGGATAGATACCACAGCTCTTAGCATGAGGATAGAGAAGTAAATGTTACAGTTGTCTTAACATTTAATTTCTGTGCACCTGCCTTTGTTCTTTAGATATGGAGATTTTAAGTACTTTTTTTCCATTTTTTTTTTAAATGAGAATATAAACATAAAGCCTATCATCAGATCATAGAATCATAGAATGCTTAAGGTTGGAAGGGACCTCAGAGGTCATCTAGTCCATCCCCTCTGCACACGCAGGGTCACCTAGAGCACGTGGCACAGGGCTGCATCCATGCGGGTTTTAAAGATCTCCAAAGAAGGAGACTCCACAACCTCTCTGGGCAGCCTGTTCCAGATGGCAAAGCAGGCTCTTTAGGCGCACGGTGCTGTACAACAAGCAGGCCCAGCACGGGCTGCTGCCTCTCTATTTTTCTGTCTCGTGACCACGAGTGATGCCCTGCCAGMCTTTCTGCAGGACTGCACACCCTGCATCCTGCTTTCAACCAAGTGCTCTCTTGCTAGCTGGCCTGGCAACTGCTCCAAAAGCTTTGGGGAAACCTCTTCCCCATAAAGCCACCGCAAAGAAGGGCCCATGCAGCAGCCGTGTCTCGTCCCAAAGGGCTTTTCCTCCGCTCTGCCTGGGGGAACCTGGTGCAGCCTCTCCTGTTTGAAGGATGCAGAACAGGGAGAGGCTTGGGGGAGAGGAGATCCAGGCCTTTGCCCACATGCTGCTGGGAAGCCCTACCTCGGGGAAGGGGCTCTGCCCTACGCAAACTTTTCACCACGTTTTCTAGCCCCCTTGCCTGGGCAATGGTTGTCTCATTGGTGAAGAATGCCTGCGTAAGCAGCCCTGCTTCTGTTTCAAACCTGAAGAAGGATTCGTGTGCCTGAAAGCTTGCCTGTTTTTTTTCCACCCGTAACAGTTGATCTAATAAAAGATACTGCTCTTCCATAAAAACCTSGAATTGCATTACTATTCAGTAATTTCAGTGGGTTTGGGATCACGCCGTTACAGTTGATGCAGTGCTGTTACACAGCCAGCCGACGCTTGGCTAAGCTGTCAAGGAGAACATATTGTCCCCSCAAATGACAATAGCAAATTCTACAAAGCAAAACCAGGGTCTGCAAATCCAGCATTAGCCTCTGTGGCACATCTTGAACAAATTAGTACAGGAAATTAATCTGGATCAAGCAACAGTAGCAACAGTAGCATACGAAACACGATTAAAATACCAAATTATGATACAGTAGCAAAAAACAAGCTCTTGGCAGTGAATGAACTGCTCAAATTTTAAAGCATTAAAATCTGACATATCATAAAGATAACATAAAAAAAAGTATATGAAAATGTAATTTGAGGTACATTTAATGGTACTATTTTAGATGCAAGTTAGGGCCAGGTTTTCAGTCAGAATTTGTAGAGTTCTGGCACTTGTGCTGCTGTCTCTTCACTCCCCAAGGAGCCACGTATAATTCAAAGTGCATTTGTCTGTGATACAGACAAATAAAATCACAACTACCATAAAAAGATTTTCAAACTCAAGCCCTTTTCAAAATCAAAGTATTGGATCAAATCAAATCAAGGTGAAGATAACTACAGAAAAGAAAACTCTCCAGCTCATCTCAGCTGAGTTCACTGGGGGTTTGAACCACATGATCTCCCCTCCAACTTGTGTTATTCATTAAGTCTATGAAACTCAGGAAAAATTAGAGTATAAATCCAAATTTGGATCAGAAATTTGTGATTCAAAATGACCCTTTGTCACAGTTGGCTGTACAGTCCCCCCCCACATGCAGCTTTTGTGCATATGTATAAATCTTGCCCGAGTACTGCAGTAATGTAGTAGTCACACAAATTGGTTATTGGAGTTCAAAGCATTGCAGGCTGCTTCACAGGTGCCCGGTACCTTAAAATATTTGTAGCAGAGTAAAATATGTGCAAAACACTTAATCCTTCTGACTTAGTGAGGTTTAACACTCTACACTTCATTTGTAGTGGATTGCTTGCAAAAGTCAAGGAATGTAAGGAAAATACAGCACCCCATGAACTCTACTCACTGTACAATATTAAGTAATACATTTAACAACTGCATGAGAAAATCTTAAAACAAAGATGCACTCAATCTTCTTATTCACGTGTCCACAGAAGCTGGTCACTTAGATACATAGAAATCTAACTTKAGAGGACTCACAAATGGAAAATTATAATCCATTATTTTAGAAACTTCTTTTGCAGTGAAATAGGGAACTCTAACTTTCTGATAATGTCAGGAATATTCCCAGAGAGAAGACAACACAGAAAGGAGCTGAGGAGGTGGTTAATGCACTGTTTGTTCAGGACAGTGAGGGTTTTTCTGGTTAGAGGTGAAAGGAACTCTACTCTTTTTTCGAAAGTATTCTGATGCTCTCTGAGAAAAACACCTTTTTTTGCATAGCAGCTCACCCCATGAGCTTGAAGTCTGAAATTAATTGGTGGTAATTTATCAGTGGTAGGTTAGCAAGGCTTTGTAAACAGCACACGTCCAATCCTGAAAAGTTGCACCATTGAGATAAATAATTTCTGCAGCAGCCTGAATTACTTCTTTGACTTTTAACTCCTCAGAAATTGGCAGGGGAGAKGACATTTCATCAAGCCATGGCTGAGGCAAGGAAGACTTGCCCAACCTCTAMCACACAAGGGCAGAAAAAAGGCAAGTCAGACATTGTTGTTTGCACGGGTCAAAACAGCTCCAGCTCGCACTGGAAGCTGAAGGCTGATAAAGAGATAGAGGAAAGGCCACCTACAGCTCAACTGACCTTCAAAGCCAGTTTGCTCGGGAACAAACCTGTGCTGTAAGAGGTCACATTTTAAGTATCACTCATAAAAGTGGAATAAGGGAAGCAGAAAAAAAAAAAGGAAGGAAATACCATTAACCTTAGGCTTTTCTAACCAGTTACAATGCTTGAACAAGTGAATGCAAAATCTGAAGAGTCAGAGCACAAAGCCACTTCATCAGTGTAAAAACCTAAGCAAAAGTGTGGGTAATCACAACTACCTTCCAATATGGCCTACAAGCATCTGTGTTTCACCCAATGATCTCTATCCTCCAAATGCTCACACCACACGTTCAGGATAAAAGTGGAGATGACATCTGTAGACAACCCTGCATCTCCATTGTGCTTTTTGAGTTGGAACTGCTTGCATATGGGATGTCTGGGCTCTTCAGATTGCATAGTRAGGGTGGCTGTGACCTTACTTCACAAAAAATATCACAAGAATATGTAGCTATAAGGTTGGTAATAGCAATTGTCTGAAGCTTAAGTATCTACATAAAAATCAATTAAAATGAGTAGGGTATGGTATGTGTAGGATACAGCTTGAGTCTGGGAAGATGAGCAGCTGTATTGTCCCCAAAATAATCACTAGACCCCATGGTAAAATAATCCTAGCACTGGGGGAAAAGCACTGTACTTCCCTCTAAAATGGAGCAATTGCTTTTCACCAGGAAGTCAGCCTTGCCCTAGA